AGATAGATAGATAGATAGATAGATATAATATATATATTAGCCATTTCAACAAAACTTTCTGGGATTGGGAGAGATCACTGGTGCTGGTGCCACAGATTGGCTCTGACACCTATGAGCCTACACACAACAGACGTGAACCCTGCCTGAGCCTCCACGGTCCTCACAATCCATGTTTAAGCTGACTGTTGGCAGGTGCTGTGTCAACCCATCTCACTGGGTGAGGGTCGTCTTCTCCTTTGCTGACCCTCTAGGTTTCCAAGGAGGAAGTCTTTTTCTAGGGACTGGCCCCTCCGAACAACACCCCCAAAGGATGTGCAGCACAGTCTCCCCTCCTTGACTCTAAGGAACCTCATAAAAGGACCTCCTCCAAACAAGATCTGTTCTCTTGGCACTCTGGGATAGAGTCAGCACTCTTCTCCAGCACCACAGTTCAAAGGATGGGTCATCGGAGTAAATTAATTTAAAGGCACAAGGGAAAACTGGGTTCTTTCTTTGTTTTACAGTTGCATTTTTATCTTCATCAAAACGACTACATATTAGTAATACGTACCCTTGAATCGTTCCAAATATGGCTGACTATATCCAATAATCAACCTATGAAATACTTAGAACCATTAAGTCTTAAGTCTCATATGTGCAAAACAGATGGTCCAAAAATATTTTCAACAATGGTCATACGAATAAGATAAGGATGATAGAAGAAGAATTGATGCCTTTGCGTTCTGATGGATTGCTAAGAGAACAAACAGGTTCATCCTAGAGAGGGTGAGACCAGGCAGCTCCTTGGAGGCAAGGATTCTGAAGCTCTGTCTGGCATACTTAGGTCATGCTGCAGTCCTTGGAGAGGGACGTCATGCTTGGAAGGGTGGAGGGTAGAGAAAGAGAGGAAGACCCTGGCTCAATGACTAGAGTAAGGGGATAAAAAGTCAGAGATGATCAAACTGGCTCAGGTTAGAGCAGGGTTCAGAGCTGTGGTACATAGGGTTGTTATGAGTCAGAGTTGACTTGACTACACATAACAACAACTCAAAATACCAATTTTTTAAAAGTAACTGAATTTATCCTTTTATAGATATTTTTTAAACCACCTTATTCTTCAGCTTCACCTCATACATTCTTGGTAGGAAAATGTTCACCACATTTCTGAGATAAAGTTGTTTTCTATAATCCAATGGTCGAGGAGTATTCAACTGATATTAGTCCGTTCGTGTGCAAGGCTTTGTGGTAGGGCCCATGTATGTGAGGCAGACTTTGTACCATGTGTCACTAAGTGATGCCTTTTGGAGAAACTTCTAGATTGTAATCTTAATGGCAATAGATCAGCAGGTCTTTCTCTGAGGGGCTCCTTAGTGGGTATGAACCACCAACCTCTTGGTTAGTAGCTGGGAGCTTTAACTCTTACACCACAGGGCTACGCGCTTCTAAAGTAAGTTATAAATGAGAAACTACCACAAGCTAAGTATTTGTGAAAGTACACGTGCACTATGAAAAGGTATGCTGTGCATAATAAAATATGAGATACATATAGATGCTATAAAATTATTTATAAAGCATTTTATAAATAAATCAAGTCACAGAAAAAATATATGCCAATCTCCATTCATTTTAAAAAAAGAAACTGTACACATCTACATAAATTTCTCGGGCTTGTATTCATTCACATATTGCCTACACATCGGAAATCAACAGGCCATTTATCTTCATAATGATTCCTGCAGGCAAACCCAGAGCACGATTTAGAAGTCGGGTGCTGCTTTTTAACTTCCCTTGGAAATACACGTCTTTTAGGTCTTAACTCTCTATCTTCTAGGTCCATCTCCACCAAATAATTTAAAACTAACAAGAAAATGGAGCTCTGGTGGCCTAGCGGTTTAAGAAGCTGTACTGCAATCCTGAAGGCATGCAGTTCAAATCCACCAGCAGCTCTGCGGAAGAAGGATAGGCAGTCTCCTCTCATACAATTAACTGCCTCTGAAAACCCCCTGGAGGGTCAGCTCTGAGCTGGGCCCAACTCAAGGTCAATGAGTTTTGAGTTTTCTGCTCACTTAAATGCTTCTGTACAGACATGAAACTTGCTGCTGTGGAGTTGACTCTGACTCCCAACCACCCTCTAGTGGATTTCCAAGGCTGTAAAGTTTTGCAAGAATTGTCCATTCATGTCTCGAGGAGCAGCTTATGGTTGTCAACTGCCAACCTTTCATTTACCAACCCGACAGAGCAAACACTAGGAGCACATATGCCTCTTCCTGATCATCGGTTGAACTGTGACAGCCATTCCTCACTATCGGTGAAAAGTCTCAAGGGAAAATCTGAAGCTGCCATTCTGGGAAGGAATAAGCCGTCAGTCAGGATGACACTTCTACAGGTCTACTAAAACAATGACTGTAAACCTTTGCTTAAACAGCCTTGAGAAAATATGAATAGAAATACATGCTCTAATACTGCCGCCTGTGGACATTAATCAGAATCTTACATGCGTTATAAGCTCCGCTGTGACATTTATTTTCTAGTTTTAATTTTATGTTCCTTTCCTGACATTAAAATAGTTGCATTCTGCATTCATTCACTCAAGAATTATTTACTAAATCTACAATGTACCAGGCACTAGAGACATAAAAAAGAAATCACCATTGTTCTTGGGGAGTTGACAGTTAGGAGAAAAAGAGAATCAAAGAGTGACAAGCAAATCAACAACTAATTTCAAAAATGTGTAACACACACTAAAATATAGTAACAGAAAGATGTAAGGCCGTCTAGGAAAAGCATACAGTACAGACACTGCATACATAGACCATCACTGCCTACAATTCTTTCCATCAGTTTTAGTCAGTTTTCAATTAAGTAGATGCTTATTTTTGTGTTAGGTAGCATTAATCTTAAGTGAAAAATTCATGCTTGGGGTCTCTAACTGGAAATCTGTTTTATAAAAACCCTTCTTTCCTTTCAGTAAGGAGCTCTGCTGGCCCAGCAGGTGACAAGTTACACTGCTAATGCAAAGGGAGAGAGTTCTGTTTAATGGCAATGAGTGAATTGGGGTGTGTGTGTGTGTATGTGTGTGTAAATAAACAAGAAACTCTAGCAGCACAGTTTCTCGCCTGTTGTGCTGCTAATCATAAGGTTACAAGTCTCTGGTGGTTCAAATCCACTAGCTGATCTGAGAAAGATGGACAGTGTCCTGTCACTAAGATTTACAGGCTTGGAAACTCAATGGAAGGTCATCATGAGTTGGAATGAACTTGACAGTAATGAGTAAGTTTCTATGTATAAAATGTCTTCATTGGTTCTGCTTCTCTAGAGACACCAGCCTAGGCCATTATCCAAACTATTTTCTATTGTATTCTTTTATAATTCACTTTCTTTTTTTTTAACTTCTTTTTATTATTATTTTTATTATTTTGTGTGTGTACCGTCAAATCAGATCTGACAGGTACAGGAGGAAATTGACCCTCCTTCTCTGGTGGATTCAAACTGCGTACCTCTGGGATTGCAGTGCAATTTCTTGCCACTAGGCCACCAGAGCTCCCTCTATAATTCACTTTCTTATAGTTTAGTCATGATGACCTTAAATAATTTCTTAACCTACTGATCTTCACTTGTCTGAAAACCGTGGGTCTTAACCAAGAAAGGCCAGAGAGTAAATATTCTAGGCTTCGTAGGCCTCTGACAGGCTCTGTGGTAATGAGTCAACTCTGCCATGGGGTTTTCAAGGCTGTAAATCCTAACAAGAGGAGCTCCCCATCCTCCTCCCAGGGAGCTGCTGGCAGATTCGAACCACCAAAGGTACGCAGCTCTTTGATTAGTAGTGCGACCTGCTACAAGCTATACACCACCAGAGCCCCTCAACATGAACACAGCCATGGACCATATGTAAACACAGAAAAGCATGGCGGCATCCCAATAAAATGTTATTTCCATTAAATAAGCAGTAGTATGGATTTGACCTGTAGTCTCCGGTGTACATTACAGAAAGAGCTACTCATAATAAGAAATTAAGGTAGGAATAGCTCCACATTATTGGTGAAAAACCAAGAATATGCGAAGGCTTAAGAAAAATTTCCACCTACTGAGTAGTAAAAAGTATACTGCCTCCTGGACAAATGTTATTTCCTCTCTCTGATATTTCAAAACATGAAAGATGTAATGTTAATAACTTTCCACTTAATAATTTTTAATGTAACACAGTGTACTGCTTCAGGCTGTACTTAACTACAAAAAGAATTTATGCATTATATTCTTTTTTGTCTCTAAATTTATTATTTACTTACACTATCATTCACTTTTATATATTTATATACATTGTTTCATTTATGAGCATTTTGGTTTATACAATCATTTCTGTACATTGGGTTTTTTTCAATTTACTATTTAAAGAAAGTACAGTAAATTAAGTTAAAAATCAAAAGTCTGAAATTGCTAAAGTCTGAAAACATCTTTATTTTGGAAAGCAATTCTTCCCAAACAGCCAAGAACAAATAGCAACTTATCCCTGGCTCTGCTTCAAAAAGAGAATAATCCTTCTTCTTCCTCAAAAAGCACCATCCTAGGGGAGCTCTGGTGGCTTAGTGGCAAGAAGCTGCAACTACAATCCCAGAGGTGCACAGTTCGAATCCACCAGATGCTCTGCCGGGGAAGGAGGGGCAATCTCCTCCTGTACCAGTCAGATCTGATTTGACGGTACACGCACACAAAAATAATAAAATTTTTAAAAAAAAGTACCTTCTTATTATTATCTAAGTAGCTGATCTCAAGTGTGACTCACAGCAAACAAACCTACGGGCCACAGGCCTGAACCCTGTGCCATCGTCCACCATCCTCATCCTCTCTGACACACTTGAGCCCACTGCTGCAGCCACTGTGCCAACCCATCTCATTGAGGGTTGTCTTCTCTTCCACCGACCCCCACCCACCTCTCCTAGCAACATGCCCACAGTACGTTAGACGAAGCTCTGTCATCTCTGACTGTTGTTCTTCTGTTTTATGGTTTTGACCATCTTACATCAATTTTGAATGTTTTCTATCACATTGCTATAACTTTCACTGGGAGTCATTGGAAGTTATATATAATGTTCTCCCCCATAAACTTACCTTTCCGTTTGAAGCTTAGTGGTTTTTACTATCAAATCCTGAGTCTGTTCTTTTGCAGCCTAAAATTATAAAAAAAAATCTAACATTAGTGCATTACAATTTCACTTCGTAAAACAAATATCACCATTAACTAGAGTTTAGACTCATACCAAATGAGGTCATAGTCCACAAATGACACGTTCCTTAAAAGCCCAGTTAACTGAAAAGATGCCTCAAGCCTCATAAACCAAACCAGGTGCCAGTGTGCCAATTCCAACTCCTGGCAATCCCTTAAGTTCTGACAGACCTGCATGCAGTCAGCATTTCAACAGCTGCAACCTTCTGGTAGACCACCAGGCCTGCCTTCGAGGCACTTCCGGGTAGAATGAGACCACCAACCTTTTAATTGTATCCTCCCTTCAATACGACAAATGTATTCAGAGTATGCAGTACAAGAAAGGGAGTGTTAGAAATGAGTGCCACGATGCTGTACGTGGAATTTAACAGTTCACAATGATTTTTAACGAAACAGCAGCACAGACAGAGCAAGTTAAGGATGAAGAACATGGCTTCAGTAATGGACATGGTGAACTGAGGTAACAGGAGGCAGCTAAACGTGGTTGTAAATGAAGGTACTGCTGTGGAGGCTCAGCAGAAATGTCTAAGATGGAGATAAAAACTTGAATGTCAGAGAACATAAACCACCTAGTAGACAGGGTTTGGAGAGGATTCCATCTAAAGGATACAGTTCTGACCACATCTGTGGCTCATGTTTCCTATCGGGCAATTCTAGTCCCCGAGCCAGGATGACTGGAAAAAGAGAACTTGACAGAACAGCATTCTATCCAAAGCTTGGCCAAACAGTCATGATGCGGTGGATGAAAGAGATGGGAAGTGCAGCCAATCAGATTCTCTCTCAACAAATGTGAACTGGGGGATACTACAAAAGTGAGGCCGTTCGCAATGAGAATAGAAGCTCGATGGTCATGGGGCAGGGAGAGAACAGAGATGATGCTTTAAAGGGGGCAGCAAGTGCCAGAACTGTCCATAAATTAGCCATTACTAGTGAGAAGAAACTACAAACTAAACCAACATAAAGTGGAGGGTAAGTCAGTCCATTAACTACATTAAACATTGATACCATGGAGTCTGAAGTGACTCGTAGATGGCCCTGCCGCGGGTTTTCAGAGGCTGTCACCAACACTGCATATCTCTCTCCAGTGAGGAGTCAAGGGACTCAAATAATCTGTCTTTGGCCAAGCAACACAATTCTCTGCTACTAAGCCACCAGAGCTCTTAAGGTATTAATCAAGATTATGATCTTAAAAGTAGCTTTCAACTCATTTCTCTTAAATAATAAGGATGATTATTACCCACTGTGAGAACAGATATAAGCCAAGAAGCAGCTCACGTCTCCTGATGTGAGGTGATCTGCTGGCTTCCTGTTACAGAACCTGGAAGTATCATTAATCACCTGAAGGTGACGATGCAATCGCTATCTCAGTGAGGTGCTATTCCGTGGGTTTAGCAAATCATAACGCATGTTCTTGCCACATTTTCCTGAGTTACGGGGTCTGAAATATCAACTGTATCTTGTGGGAAAAGAACTAACTGGCAGTACAGAACGAGATCTGTATTAACAGAATATTTTCTTAAATGAAAGAAGTTAGATTAAGAACTGCAGGCAAAGAGATTCGGAAAATAAGGAAAGAAACGAGCAGGTATAAGATGAGCCTCAAATGAATCCAAGTGTGGTAACTGCAGACCTTGGAAGGAAGAGCTTTACCAAAATCCTCACAGAACTAGTAAACAGTGAAAAACTCCTCCGCAGTACTAAGATGAGCAATCAAAGTCAAGTGAAAATCTAACAAGACAAACTGAACACAAGCCAATTATTTTTTATAAAACCTAAAAATGTCAAATTAGAATACAATTTCTTCCAATTTCTACTGCTTTGTCCACAGTGTAACAGTCCTCTTTCTGCATTTATGACAGCTTTTCTCATGTGCTAAGAATGGTAAAACCTTACCTGAAGCAAATTAGTATTTCTGTTTAGAATGCATATTAGCATCAGTTAAACTCCAATTTATTATTATTTTTTTAAGTTTTCTCTTTTTTTGTTGAGTACAGTCCCATGGTATGGTTGCAACATAGTTTAACCATTCAGCCACTGGAAAATATTCAGATTGCTTACAGATTTCAGTTACTGTAAATAGGTATTTGTTGTCATAAATATGTATATGTAGATTTTTGGTGAAAATAAGTCCATTTGTTTCTTTCTCTTTAAAATTCCCAGAAGTACAATTTCTAGGTTATAAAAATATGGACCGCTTCATGAATGTGCGTGTAATCCGTGCGCAGGGGCCATGCTAATCTTCTCTATATCGTTCCAATTTTGGTATATGCACTGCCAAAGTGAGCACTAAACGGTAATTTTTAAGACCACATTTTTGAAATACTACTCTGCCTTCAGTATTCGTAGCTACCAGGAAACGAAATTCTCTCAAGAAGTATCCAGAAAAGGAGATGCTTACTCAGGGAAGGCCCTTCAGCAGAAGTAAATAAATAAAAAAAATTCTTCTGAGGTAATTTTAAACGGAGAAGGTAAGAATTTAGAAACAACTTGAGAGTTTTCAAATGAATGTAGCCTAAGTTTAGGTCTAAAGGAAACTGAACAATCACTTGTTTAATCTTCTAGTGAAAATAAATTCTCCTGACTGAAGAACACCATGAGTACAAGATCAGCATCCAGTGGGGAAAAGCTATTAAACACATTGATAAAAACACAGTGGAAGAACATTTCAAACCTTGAAATCAAATGTGCAGTATGATCGGAGCTCACGAAGGCTACAACACTTAAGAGAAATGCCAACAAGGTCTCTATGGGGCAGAGCAACCCAGGGTCAAGTTCAAGCCGTTCATCTCTGTTTGCCACCAATAAGAAAAGAGCACTGAAGTGAGACCGTCATAAATTACACAAGTCAAAACAGTGTGAAAAGAAAAGTACTAGAAACAAGAGCTGGGCTCCTAAGAGAATAAAAATCCCATAATTAATGAAGTCATAAATTCCCCCAAAGGAAAAACACAAGTAGAGCAACCAGCATCCAGCTTGTACTTGGCATTCCCGGAGCCTTTAACGACCTGAGAAATGTCTTCAGAAGATTGATGGAGAAACAAAGCCTGCGCCTGTACCTATTTCTGAGTTAAAGAGATCAACAATTAACTACTTCCGGAGTCTCTACAAATAAGGAGATAATTAAGAAGTCAGCTCGTGCACAAGTCCACGGCCATCAGTGCCTGACCCAAGGGTGGACAGTGGGCTGGTGCCAGCTGAAAGACCAAACAACTCAGTGTTCTCCACCTCTGTGGGGAAACTGAGTCAGACAGTGGAGAGGTAAAAAAGTACAGAACACGGGAAGATCCTTATGTTGAAAGACAAATACTTCACCAGGAGGAAACAACATTGGCCTAGCTGGCCAATGTCATTGTTTCAAAATGCAACGTCTGTGGACTGTATACTAATTGAAATAAACAGCTCACCTGTGAAAAACTCCAACACGCCTAAAATGAAGCTCTCCAAGCTCAACTCTGTGCACCAACATAAATTACACTCTCGAGTTTCCCCTAAATTGGGCTTATTAAGAATTAATTTTTTTTCTCATCCACTTTAAGAATGTCTCCTAGCTCTGTTCTGACAACTGCCTCTAGGTTCAAGTATAGATTTTGCATGAGCACAATCAAATGTTTTGGGATTCCCATTCTTCTCAGAGTTAACAATAGCTTGTTGTGATCCACACAGTCAAAAGCCTTTGCATAGTAAATGAAGCACAGATAGGTATTCCTCTGGTACTCTCTGCTTTCTGCCAAGATCCATCTAACATTAGCTATCATATCTCTAGGACCACGACCTCTTCTAAACCCAGCCTGTACATCTGGCAGTTGTCTGTTGACGTGTTGCTCCAGTTGTTTCTGGATAATTTTCAGTACAATCTGGCTTGCATGTGATATGAGTGATATTGCTCGATAATTTCCACACTCTGTTGATGGCACATAACACACACACACACACACACACACACACACACACACAGACACACTTTAAGACTGCATCATTCAGTAACACAAAGCACATTTTTAGGGATAATACAATATGACGCTAAAAATATAGCTTGCAAGAACATAATGGTAATAATGCCATATGAAAGGCCCCTGAAAACTGTGACTATCGTAATGAGATAAAACTTTCTGCTGAACCACCACTGTGGAATAATCAGCCGAAATAGTCCACTACATCAGCACTCAATGAGACTAGTTCGAGCTTGGATTCCAAGCTTGAAACCTTGACAGGAAAGATCAATGATGTTCCAATTGTGCTTAATGAAGTAAGTAAGAAGTGACAGAGTAAAGTTCCAGGTTCAGCTCCCCAAACAGCACAATATTCTCAATAACCAAACATCTAACAACGTGTTAACAGGAAAACACCACCAAATTATTGTTGGCCTCAGGAGAATTCTCATCTGCAGACCAAAATGCCAAAGGACTTAAAATAAGGAGCAATAAAAGCAGCTGATGGGAAAACAGTGGATCATCGACACAGGATGAAAAAAAAAAAAAAAAAAAGAAAGAGATAGAGATAGAGTTAGATACAGGCCTTGGTGAAAGCAGAGAGTACCAGAGGAATTTCTATCTATGTTTTATTGACTATGCAAAGGCATCTGACTGTGTGGATCACAACAAACTGTGGCTGACTCTGAGAAGAATGGGAATCCCACAACACTTGATTGTGCTTATGCAAAACCTTTACTTGGACCAGGAGACAGCTGTCAGAACAGAGCAAGAAAACACTGCATGGTTCAAAACCAGGAAATGTGTATGCCTGGGATACATCCTATCTCCACACCTTTTCAATCTGTAATGGAACAGATCATCTGGGAGGCTGGGCTCTATAAGGAAGAATGTGACATCAGGATTAGAGGAAGAGTTTTCAACAACCTACCGTATGCAGACAGTATAACCTGGAGGACCTGAGGCATTTCCTGCAGAAGGTCAAGGACTGCAACCTTCAATATGGATTGAAGCT